AACTAGACAAAGGCCGAAGCACCATAGTCACGCAATACAGCATAACGTACCAAATTGTAACTAGTTAGATAGAACGGCCTCTGGCCAAAGTCCTACATAGCCAACGGCTGATACAGGACTATAATGGAATAATAATAATAATAATAATAATCACAGTGATAAATCACAAAAGTTTCCTCTGGTAATCAAGTAGTTTGCAATTAAAACATCATCACATCGATTCTTTCACGATCAAGTCTTACTATTCTAGTAGTATCTTCTCTTTTTTTCCAATCTCAAGATCTGATTGATGCATTGGCACATACATGACGGCCCCCCTTAAACGCCCAATGTAATAAGAAAAACCAAAAAAAAAACACAAAGCGACTTGTGGCTGCGACTGCTGCCGTAGCAAATGGTATCGCGATAAATGCCCGAGAGATTCAAAAGCCCAAAGGGTCCAGATGCATGCCTGCGGTAGAAACAAATGATATGAAAATCGGGAAACAAGGAAACAAGAGAAAAAGAGTAACTGATGCGGTATCGAGCGAGCTGTCATGAGTTATGGAAATATACACAAAGGAAAAAGGGGTGGGTGGGCTCAGATGCTAGTGATTCGGCTTCCAGGAGGTGCAGATGCACGATGCGGTCGCAGGTTGATCACGGACTCCAGTTCTCTCAGCATGCTGGTGTTTGCGTCTCGTTGCTCACGAAGCGTAGCTTGGCGAATGCGGTCATCCTGAATCTTTTGCATCCGTTCCTCTCTCGACATGGTAACGCGCGTCTTGGGGATTGCGATGGCTTCGAATACTTCGTCGTCAGAGTTACTGCCCTGGTCGCTGGACGGGGCGCTCTCGCGAGGACTCAAAGTTTCGCCGTTAAGAGCGCGCAGAGCATCAGACGGACTTCCTTCGTCAACAGCAGTCAATCCACCTAGGCTTGGAACTGGCGAGCGTAGACCGCTGCTTGATGCTTGTGAGATTCGGCGCTCCTGTCGGTCAATGTTCAACGCAAGCGCATTCTTCCCTGCTTCCCAAGCCTGCACTAAACTCTTGAGATCGGCTCCAATGGATTCGTACTGCGCCATAAGAGAATGACCCAGATCACTGGCATCTTCCACATCTTCCAAGCTCTTATTCGTCTCTTCCCGCAATACCTGCATCTTTGCCTGCAAACCCCGGATTCCGCTCGAAAGTCCCGACAATTTACGCACTGAGTTTCGAATCTTTTCCCGCCCAGGGGTGGGCGCTACCTTGGCCGGCGATGGCAAAACAAACTGCTCTTCTTCCAATAGCACTCGATTGAACTTTTCGCTCCATTGACCGATAGGACGGGCTGTGTTTAGGATAGAGTCGACTACTGTTGACCATCGTGGGAAATCCAGCGTGCCACCATCAGCCTCCATGGCAAGGAGAGAGCACAGGTACACTCGGCGAAGAATTGACAATCGATATTGGAGAGTGCGAAGCGCTTTCAGGCTTTCGGCGTCTTCGAACTCGGACGGAGTGTAGCTGAGAGCCGCCTCTTGCAGATCCGGGTTGCTGATCTCGTAAACGTCAAAGTACTTTTCCAAGTCATCTTCCTGAATTAGTGGCTTCAAGACTCCACACTGCTCGGAAAGGAAGGGGACAATGTCGGCGTATGCTGCGCGGAGATTGCGACGAAGACGTTGGCAACGGCGGGCCTGACCCTTTTCCTCGATGCGCGAGATTGGGGGTAGTGGACAGCTTCTAGAAGGGGACCGGTGAGCGGGGATAAGGGAAAACCGGTTGGAAACGTGGAGGACCTACAATCTGTAGCCACGAGATACGAGCTCTACCTCTTGGATCAAAGCAAGCGCAGACGACGTAGAGGCTTCAAAGGCTTGCAGGTTGGCGACCAAGGCGGATGCGCCATCGACAGCCTCCTGCCTCAGGTACCGGAGCCATTGACGTCGCATGAAGCCATATACGGCGGATGCAGCGACTGCGAAGACCAGAACCACAAATGCTGACCTACTCCAGCTAAAGGTGGGCTGGCGGCGAGACCAGTGGACTAGCCATACCAAGGCAAATGCTGTTGTGCCTGTCAGAGCGGCGCCGGTAGGGCTTATCGTGGCGACCTTGAACTCGTGCAAGCCGGAGCTTCCGCCTGGCGCAAAGGCGGATATCGATGATGCGCGCAGGCCGTCCTTCTCGCCAAGCAGCTGCGAGGCGACGATGAGGTAGCGGAAGTGTTCGAGGAAGCGCTCATTGTCTGCACGCCTCAATCGCGAATTGACAGCCTTCTGCAGCTGGGTCAGTACGTCTTGACTCACAAAGCGCCAAGCCAGATGAACACACCGAACAGGCCAAGTGAATACGGGAAATGGAGCCATGGCGCGCATGTATGCGCAACGGCTGTGGGAGGCGGTCTCTTATTCTCGATTGCAGAGTAGAGGGTCCTTTGGGTGCAAAGCCCTGGAAGTCGACGTCGGTATCGGCGTGTCGAAGGATAGGAGGGCGTAGGGTATCGTCGTCATCTTCGCCGCCTCTGCCCTGGCCTAGTGCGGCGGTTAGTGGCTGGGGGTGCATCGTTGTCATAACCATCATCATCATGGTGGCGGTTGCTGTGTGTGGGGGGGAGGGGAGGCTCACCTTGGAGCAAGTGAGCGAGGGGTGAGTCGTCCTGTATAATGTTCTCCATGGTGGGAGCGCTACCGCATGATGGGGGAGTGGACGTCGGGTGGTCTTTGGGGCGGCGCGTGAGCTGGTGGTGGTGGTGTTGCGGTGGCTCTAACCCGGGGTGGGCAGGTGATATGGATATAGCTGGGACGGCTGGTGCGGGTGCGGGCGCGGGCGCAGGCGAGGGCGCTGGCAAGGGCGCGTGGTCTGGTGCGTGGGATCCAATCGTGGCAGCTGTCACTTTGTCCGTCTGATGGCAGGGGGGACATTGGGGGATGGGTACGGACAAGAAAAGGGAGCAAGGTAGTAGAAAGGAGAGGCAGCTGGAGTAGTCCGCGCGCGCACACACACACATTACATGCACACATCCACAGCCACACACTTGTTACACTGGCTCTACCATTCGGTCAAGGGAAATGAAGCAGCTTGCGGAGACGGGCCCCCTGTGATTGGCGACTAACCGGCTAACAGCCCGCTCAACCGTTCACGGGGCGGTTTCGTTTCCTCTAGCCGTCTCCGCCGTGCTTTTCATGTGACACCCTGGTCTACAATCCATTCATGCGCCTATCTAGGCGCGCGTTACCCTGAGGCTCAGACTGCCTAGCCCCCCTAAGCCCTCCTTTGTCCCCGACTCGAGTGAACGTTGAGGCCGCAGGCTTCTCGTTTTGGATGCAAAACAATAATTCACCCTCCTACGCCTCATTTCGCCCTTAATGCCGCTTGCCGGCCCTACCGACGCTGCGACCACGCGTCCCTTTCGGATAGCCTGAAATCCACTCCCGATGAGTACGAAGGTCCGGCCCCGCACGTACGCGACTCGCATTCCCAAAGAGTACATGACTGTTTTCTTTTCCTCTTGGTCGACTGGCCTATGTACTCGCTGCGAGCAGTCGTGGTGGTTGCGTGCGAAATGACGCGCATGCATGCAAGCTCGCCTGTGCTCAATCGATAACACAATCGATAAGATAGGGCTGCATGCTGTATGCAGGTACTGCGTTGTGGTGTGCTGTCATGTCCCTGAGACTACGCTGCCACCACCTTGCTATAGTTATGCCATCTCCGCTTACAAACCATGCTTGCCACTTTTTGCTGCCATGACTGAACTACACCCGTCAAGTCTCACCTTGGCCAAGCACCTATGGCAAGATACATGTTGCATCATCGTCCTCGATCTCATTCCTGGAGATTCCGGACAACCGGCCTTATCCCCTCCCGTCAATATGGCTGACACATCGCCATCCGACTATTTCCACAAGGCGACAGCCATGAGCCCCGGTAACATGTCCAATTCTGCAGGCTGAACACCGGTTTTGCTAGCACCATCTCTGCAAGATGTGGCCAACCCAAGTGTGGAATATGCTTCCTCTGAGTCGTCTCATCCTCTTCTTGCAGCATATATCAGTTCCAAGTTTCTTTTCTTAGTGTGCTTCCTTACAAATTCACTCTTCAGCGCTGTGTACAACATCTTGGAGGTTTCTTTTTGGTGACAAACCCACCGTCTACGTAGTCGTCATTATGGACAGCCAAATGCTCCACATGCTCATGGCCACTGTCGAGCTAGTGAACACAAACCTCGACACTACGCCTGCTTCCTGGCGAGATCAACTGCCGGCCATCCGAAACATCACCATTTCGTTTGAGATTTCTGATACAACCCCCGAACAATCTCGGAAATGTTGGCAAATGCCTTTGGTCACTGTCGTCCAGCGGGTAGCATTCGCGGATGCGGATAACGGTCCTATCCCGGACATAGCGGACTGGTGTTTACGACAATTGCTGAAGCTGCTGGCGTTGTACCCTCAAGATCCTGATATTCTGACTTGTAAGCTAAACTCATAGTTTCATGTCCCTTGGCTGACAGTCACGGTGATCGGTCGGCATTGGCTGTTACGAGCGCAAAAAGCACTGGCAAACATTGCTCGAGCAGAAAATGAGCTTCACCCCAACGAAGAAAGCAGTCCCTATCCAGCCCAAGTTACAATGCAACCTCTACTCGGCACTCAAGAGCGAATAAATGGGGCAGATTATGTTGAGGCACGGGCATTACTAGTACCAGCAACCGACTACCTCCAATCTGCCGTGGATGCAGTAAGAGAAAAAGGAGAACTGACTGGGCATTTGCTTTTGACAGCAAGTACCCTTCCCTTCACTTAGCTTTCCAATCGCTAACTACGCAAAGGCCGCCGAAGCATTCATGAGCATTGGCAACGTCACGTCGCCCAGGGTCCATCATGTTTATTTTCGGCAGGCTATGGTTTACCTCCGAACAGCAAAGGGGCTCAACACCTATTTATTACCTTTGCATATGCTCCAGTAGGTATACGTATCCTGTGGTGTTGACAAAGACTAATTGCTTAAGGTATCTTGACGATTACGGATTTCTTTACGACGATGCTTGAAGTCGGAACTGCGTAGTGGAGGAGGTATGCATATAGACCACAAAAGTTTCATCTCAATATTGCTAGATCTTGTATACCTAGAACAGAAATCTCATCTTTAATCATTTACGATCGCGTTGGACAGTGTTGAGATTGTTGAAGCGTTGAAGTGGAGTGCTGTGAAGTCATCCCTACAGTCAAGGGTCCCCGCACGGACCAAGACGGCAAATTGTGGAGCACCGGCGTTACCAGCACTCGACTCCGGCAACCCACCCTCTATCCCACCACAACGGCCATACCTAGCATCGGAGCGGGAGCAGGAATCCGTCGTTTGAGAGCACCCAACAAATCTGTAACACTCGATATCCGCCACAGTTGAGCCCAAACTTAAACCCTTTCTTCGGCCGAAACGCGCATACGGCCGGACATACCACCATTTTGTCCGTGAGCGTCTGTGAGATTACAAGCATACCTTTGTCCTTCCGCGACACCACCCCAGTCGCATTGTCTATCATGGCTGCATCAGCGCTGAACGAGGAGCGGGAGCTTGCCATCAACCCAATCGTTGCAAGCAGCGTACAGCACAATACCCAGGTACGCTTATCAATCGCCATGGCACCGTGTCATTGCCGCCGCCTGGCATACGACATAGCCTATCCTGCTGCGCCTCTGCCCTGCACGATACAGTCACAGACTTACGCTCGCCACAGGTCATCTCCAACATACGAAGTCTGACCGCATCGCTCTTCGGCGTCGCCGCTGGCACACTAGGCCTCGAATCCTACGCTGGCTTCATTTTCTACCTACTCGCATCGCTAGTCGTCTCGGCGCTGCTGTTTGCGCTGAAGACGGAGGGCAAGCCTAGCGCATACTTTTACAGTCCGCTGGGCGATTTGTGGTTGGGAGATGTGTTTGGGGGTTTGAGCGGCTTTGTGCTGACTTGGACACTGTTCTATGGTCTGGTGCGGGCGTAGAGCTTTGGGATGGATGCAGGAATATACGAGAAGTTGAAGAAGATATACATGGTTGCGACGATGCAAAAAGGTGGAAGGTAGCTTAAAACAACTTGTTCGGCCCAGGAAGATGCTCAAATGGGATAGGGGTCAACTAAGTCCAAGTTTGAAACCCATCTGGGTGGGAGAACAGAGCTGTCTTCGAGGACAAAAGACCTCACGAACCTCTTTGAGAGACGCATTCCTGTAGTAGGATATACCTCATGATATCACTCGCCGCATTTTGCCTTTCTTTAGCATGATACCCCGTCCAATCAAGCATTCAGATTCTTCATCTCAAACGTGACCAGTTTGGGCTTGTGAACTTATAGAGTGCAGTTTGCAATGACTTTGCGCATTGAGATGACTGACTCAAGACTTACTTAGAATAGCGTCTCCCGCAATAACGATGGCAAGCACCCATGGTGCCTTGAATCCAAACATTCTCCTGACAGCTGCCACGTTTGTTCATCGCGTGCGTAGTACTCTTGGCAGCTCTTTAACATGCGGTGATCTGTGCATATTTTAGCGTGTGTTTGACGCGCTCCCGCGTTGAGATCCCCTCCATCCATTGTTGCCTTTCTACAACAGAGCGCACTTGTCTTCTTGCACGACGTTTACGATACCCTCCAGCACTACCTTCTCACCTAATCATATCCCAAATCCAAGAGTAAGTCTCTTTTCCCATGACAACTGAACGAAGCTAACAATTTGCAGTGCTTGAGGCACGCTTAGAACAGGCAAACACCTTGAAGAAGGTATGTTTCCCTAGTCAAAAAAGTCAAAAGCCCTTCTAACCGCGTACTAGGTTGTCGATGCTATCAAGGACCTTGTCCAAGACTGCAACTTCGACTGCAATGACATGGGCATTGCGCTCCAAGCCATGGACAACTCGCACGTCGCCCTCGTGTCCATGATGCTCAAGTCGGACGCCTTCTCGCCCTTCCGCTGCGATCGTAACATTGCCCTTGGTATCAACCTGGGCTCGCTCACAAAGGTGCTCCGTGCTGCTGGAAACGAAGACATCCTCACCATCAAGGCCGAGGATGCTCCCGACGTTGTCAACCTTGTCTTTGAGACAAAGACCAGCTCGCGAATTAGCGAGTACGATATCAAGCTCATGGACATTGACCAGGAGCACCTTGGTATCCCCGACACAGACTATGCTGCGACCATATCGATGCCCTCAGCCGAGTTCCAGCGCATTTGCAGAGATTTGGGTGCATTGTCAGAGTCAGGTACGTCCTACGTGACTCGTGACGACATGAGTAAATACTGTTGGCAGAACTAACGTGGATTTAGTCTCAATTGAGTGCTCAAAAGACGGTGTCAAGTTTGCCTGCTCTGGTGACATCGGCTCCGGCTCTGTCATCCTCAAGCAAAACCCCAGCTTAGACAAGCCAGGCGAGTCTGTCACGATCGACATGACCGAGCCTGTTGCCCTTACTTTCTCGCTCAAGTATTTGACCAACTTCTGCAAGGCTAGTGGCCTGTCGGATCAGGTCAAGCTCTGCCTGTCCAGCGAAGTCCCTCTGCTTGTCGAGTATGGCCTACAAGAGCAAAGCTACCTCAGGTTTTACCTCGCACCCAAGGTAAGAGATATTTTTTCCATGCTTCACAGCCATGATGCTAACTAGCGTGCACAGATTGGTGACGAAGACTAAACGAACCACGATTTTATTGACATACGAGCGGCATGTTTTCAGAATAGATGTAGGGAATAAGTGGCGCAATGGCTTTGATGTGCGTCGAGCGTCTAATAGCTTCATGATTATGGCATGCGACACTGGCGTGAATGGGCATCTGCAAGCGGTGTTCTGCGCTTTGGAAACTAAAGGAAGGTTGCCGCCCCACCATGCGAGTCGCGTCATACCCGCGGAATTTCAGATACGGAAATCGATAGTACATGAACAAATACCCCACCTGCGCATACGTCCTCTTGCCCTGACTACTTGCAACTATTACTTGTGAAAATGGCTTCTGACACTCTGATTCCGGATACGCGAGTTCTCGCAATCGCCAGCCATGTAAGAGGAATGGGCGCAAAGCTATGGTGCTTGTAGCTAACGTGCGACAGGTAGTCCACGGGTGAGTTGCATGTTGCGACGGATTGCGCATTCGACTGACTGCAAGCTAAGCTATGTGGGCAACAAGATGGCGACCTTTGTTATGCAGTCACTAGGGTGCGACGTTTCTGCGATCAATACCGTACACTACAGTATGTGTCAGTCGTTGGTGTCTTGGGTACAAACTGACTAACGAACAGGCAATCACACGGCGTATAAACAAATCAAAGGCACGAAAACGTCGGCTGGCGAGATTCTCGAGCTTTACGAAGGCCTCCGCCAATCCAACCTTAACAACTTCGACGTGCTCCTAACAGGATATATGCCCAGTGCCGAGGCCGTACAAGCGATAGGAGCGATTGGAAGGGATATCAAGTTCAATGCGGGTACAAAGCCTGGCAGCTTCTTCTGGGGTGGGTGGATGTTAAACAACATGGTATGGAGCGACGACTGACGAGGACAGTGCTTGACCCGGTCATGGGAGACAACGGCAAGCTATACATACCTGAGGATGAGGTACCAGAGTACAAGGCATTGCTGCGTGAGGCAGATCTGATCCTACCCAACCAGTTTGAGGCCGAGTGCGTGCGCGTGGAAGGTCACAATAGAAATCACGGCTAACAAGACCTACAGACTACTCTCTGAGACTTCAATCACCGACCTCAAGTCTCTCGCAGCTGCAATCCAGGTACTCCACACGAAATACCAAGTCCCACACGTTATCATAACATCGCTCCGCTTGACCCGCGACAACCAAACAGTGTCCTCGAGACCAGTATCAAAAGCCGGCACAGGAACCCACACCCCTTCAAACACCCAAGCCCACGATGCAGCAACCTCCCATCCCTCAACCTGGGAGAACCTCCCCAAGTCCCAACAAACCCCTCTCACCTCCGACTCGGACGACATTGAAAACCTAACCATCATCGGCTCAACCGCAACCTCTGACCACAAACCCCGCCTCTTCCGCATCGACACGCCCCAACTCCCCCTCTTCTTCTCAGGCACCGGCGACATGTTCGCCGCCCTCACCATCCCCCGCCTCATCGAAGCCGTCCACTTAGCCTCAACCCTCGACTCCCCCCTCCACTCCACCCCCAGCTGGCGCTCCCCGGACTCGGTCTCCGCCACTGACCTCCCCCTCGCCCGCGCCTGCCAGAAAGTACTCGCTTCCATGCAATCCATACTCACCAAAACAACAGCGACGTGCTTGACCCGCATGCAAGAATATGACGAGAGGGTTGCGGCGAGTGCGGGTAAGGTGAGGACTGAGGAGCAAGCCGAGGCGCAGAAGAAGAGGCATCTTGCGCTTATGAATGCGAGTGAGGTTACCGTTGTACGGTATGTGAGGGATTTAGTAGACCCGCCGGATGTGGACAGGTTTGAGGCTAAGGCGGTGTAGTTGGTTGAGTGTATTAGCCGGGGGGGGGGGGGACGGTGAATGAGATTTTTTAGATTTTTTTTTGGAATACTAAAACTGTCTTTTGAAATCTGGGAGTAACGTTTGGTGTATATATATATCTCTCTCTCGCTGACGCTCATCCGAACCCTTTTAACTTTGACTGCAAAGTCAATGTTTTTTTTAATACCTGATTGCGGCTGGTTGGGGGGGGGGGATATGGACTTCCTTTCTTTTCTGGGATGATTGATTGGATACGCTATGTAGCAAACAGAGAAGAAAGAAAGAAAGAAAGAAAGAAAGTCATATACAGTCATGAGGATATGGAGGGTTAAGCATAAGGGACTCTTTTTTTTAATTTCATGATGCGTGTACATGTGATTGGAGGCAAATCGTTTTGATTCTGATTCTTTGTCTTTGTTGAGAACACTTATTGTTGTTTCTCTCTTCTACGTGGGAGTGCTTAGAATGCTTTTGACACTTTGGTCTTTGTCAATTGACACGAGTAATGTATCCAGTACTCTTTTGCTCGTGCAATTGTACTCTTCAATTGAGCATATTATGGCCATGTCTCTTATACCAATCTTCTTCCTTGCTGTTTGAAATTGACCAGCAAATCATTCTTTACTCCTTCTCTTCAGTCTCCGCCGCCGCCGCTGGCTCAGCAGCAGCAGGAGTAGCACCAAACCCGCCGGTACTTCCAAACCCACCAGCGCCCCTAACACTCTGTTCCAACTCCTCGACAACAACCACATTGGGCATGGCAATCTTCTCAACCACAAGCTGCGCAATGCGGTCCCCAATTTTAATCTCGAAATCCTCATCCGAAAGATTCGCCAGTATCACACCCACGGGGCCCCGATAATCCGCATCGATGACGCCCGCCATGGTGTCAATGCCGTGTTTATATGCGAGTCCCGAGCGCGGTGCTACTCTGCCATCTGTTCATCGTAACTATCAGCAAAAGCACCCTCACGCCGCCATCATCATCACCATCACCATCAGATCATAAGAAAGAAGAGGCGAGAAAATAGAAAAAAAAACATACACGTCCCCACAGGCACCGAGATCTTAATATCCGTCCCAACCAACTTGCGCCCCCTCGCGGGAATCACCACATCCACCGCACTATAAAGATCGTGGCCGGCGGCAAAGGCACTACCCTTTGTCGGGGCTTTGGCATTGGGGCTCAGCAATTGCACTTGCAATTGCTGTTCTGCGGCAGCGCCGGCGGCGATTGAGGGCGCAATGGGAGCGGGGGGTTGTAGGACTGACGACATGTTTGCGAGGGGTGTTGGGGTTGCGAGGCCGGAGTCTGTGCCGCGGGGTAGGGTAGAGGGTTGGGTTAGGGGCGAGGGGGAGATTACTTTTGTTCGTTTGGGGAGGGGAGAGGAGGGGAGGCTGGGGGGAGAGTGGGGAGGTAAGGGGGTGTCGGACATTGAGGTGGTATTGAGTGTTGTTGTCGTGTTGTTGCTTCGTTGGTGTTGATGTTGTTGTTGTTGTTTGGAGGGGCGGTGAGAAGGGGGGTTGGCTTGGACGCGTTTTTTTGGTGGGGTTCGGGGGACAGACGTGGCGCGTCACCGTCTGTTGTCGTCCTGTTCATCCACCACCATCTTCTGCCGCATCTTCACCCATTGTGCAATTGTCTCTTTTCTCGTTGTTTCTTGCCGCATCAAAATAATTTGACGACTTCAAATTGCGATGACGTATACCTGGTTCGGTGCGTCCGACGGGGAGAGAGGCCGAGCAAGCAGGTTGCAGCGTTGTTTAGTGGCCGTGCCGTTGCTTTCAAACGGTTCTGTTGGCCCCTCGGAACGCCAGTCGATAGCGTGCTCTGTGTCCCAGCGCTGGGATGCCGATCCTACTGCGAGTGGCATTGGTACCTCGGCTTGCGTTTCAGCTTCATGTGGGGACTGCAGTAGCAAGGAGTGCTAAATACTCACAGCATCAGCATCGCATCAGCAGTCACGCGTTCAAGGGATACTTTGGTACCTTGGGTTTCCCATGCTGCGCGTGACCATTGCCACCACAATGACATGTGACTCTGGCATGATCAAAGAGCCGCACAAGGCCTCCAAAGATCGTGGCGTGTGTCGATCAGATTAGGTTCCGTCTGAACCGCTTTCTGGCATCCGATTCTGGGCAGTCACCAGCATGTTTTGAGGCTGCTCGAGAGGGTGAAGACACGGACAGCGACAGCTGCCTCAGGTACCGGCAGTTGGGTGCCGGGAGACATGCCGTGATGGGGAACAACAAGACAGATGGAGAGACGGAGCGAGTCAGCAGCAGCTCCGGCTCCGGTCCTGGCCTTGAGGACAGCAAAAGCCGACTCCGACGAGATGAGGCCAAGCCACGGGTAATAAGCTTAGTCGTCAGGCTTGAAAAACAGCCAAGTTCCACATACTCACTACGACGCATGAGATGGACGTTCGCATGCTGCTTACGACATGTTCCCTCTGATCACAAACACGTTTGCTCCTCCAGCGGCCAATCTCACGATCCCCGCGAAACCTGTCACTCGATGCCTGTCGCCCTCCGCACTCGGGTGCCGCACTCTCCACGTCGCACTACGGTCGCTTTCGTCTTCTCCAGACGGAGATTAGTTTCCAGTCAGACAGGCATCAGGCCTCCAAGCCGCACCTGACCAGCCGTCTGCGTCTGCTGTTCCAGGCGCACGGTGTCGAGTGGATACTGCATTTGAGCCGCAGCGGCGTGGCCGGTCCATGAAAGGATAGAAAATTTTGCCTCGAGACCTGTTAGTGTGACAAAATCTTCCCGATAGTTTGGCCAAGCGCTACATGTCCGGTCGCACGCCACGGCCGCCGACCATCGTGGTTGGCTGACACTTGGCTCTCGCAGCTCCAAGCGCGCCATGCAGAGCTTGTTGAGCCTCACGGGGTCTGGAGAGAACTAATGTACCCCACCTGCCCCGTCGTTCTCACGCGCCCTTGGGATGGCCAGAAGCAAAAAATTGTCACGCCCTCTCTCTCCCCGCCCCTCCCTCCTCCACCACCACCCGCTTCGTCATGCCACAGACTCCCACCTGGCAACTGCGCTCCCCTCAAAACTTACCAGTTACCAAACCCCAGCCGCATTCCAGAAGACTCTTGCCACAAGGTTCCATGCATGCATCTTGACCCCGACCCCGACCCCGAACGCGCCAGCCATTCCACGGCATCATTGCCTAGCTGGGTCAGGAATTGGGCGATTATTATCCCTACGTGTATAGTTCCATGACACACCTGCCCGTGATTGGCGAGTAATGCAAATCATGGCTGCTTGCGGCACCTCCTTCGCTACCACCAGCAACACGATTGATCAAACACAAACGTACGCGCTGCGTGCTCGTATGCATGCCTGCGTGTGAATGAGGTCAACGGCTAAGGCCATCTATGCGCACAACCTGTCGGATCATACACATCTACCTAAGGTTCTGCGCTACTGCTGTGCTGCCCTACCATTTGCCCATTCTCGGCGCCACCTTTTCGCTTAACTCCCAACTGCCATGCCACTGACATTGCCCGCGTCAACAGCCAGCCCGCGTCTGTCACGTTACGTACGTCTGTAATTCTTTGTACCGTGATGCTCGGCCTACTACTACCACACCGCGCATGCTTACCGTGTCCCAGCAAACTCGCCAGCGTGGAGACCGCTAAACATAGATGCGCCTAGCACGACCTCGACTTTTCTACTGCCACGCCGAGGCAATTCTAGTTCCACCACCACCCAGAGGCGACCTCAATCGCAGGCCCGCAACGTACGAGCGGGATTCGTCTGGTCTGGTCTAGCTCATAAACTAAGCAATACGCTAGCAGTCCCCAGCTTCATCGGACCTATTCCCAATAGCACGCTAGCCCCTCAAATGTCTAGCGCATTGTCCCCATGCTTCTAGTCTCCGGGACTGGAGAGCTGCCCATGGAGATCCCATGCCCATGGGAATGAGTTCTCCATCTGTACTTAAGCTGGGTTGATCCGCCCCCCAAGCAAACATCATCTCATCCGAGTACACACCTTTTTACTCTGGGCTCGAGTCTTTTCTCAACACCACTCTGCCCTTTCTCACATTCAACCTCCAGTCATGGGTCTGACTTTGAAGAAGCCCGAGGGCGTGGCCGGTTCCACTGCGCCCGCCATCATTGTCGGCTTGTTTGTTGCTTTTGGTGGTATCCTCTTCGGGTATGCAGTCTCAACTTCTCTATCAAGCAACATCAGTCACTAACAGCGTTTTACAGATATGATACTGGTACCATTGGTGGTATCCTGGGAATGAAGCACTGGCGTGAGGTCTTCAGCACTGGATACGTCAACCCCAAGGACAACCTTCCTGATGTCACCGCCGACCAGACCTCGCTCATTGTCTCTATCCTCTCTGCTGGTACCTTTTTCGGTGCCCTGACTGCCGCCCCTACTGCCGATTTCCTCGGTCGTCGCCTTGGTCTCGTTGCCAGCAACATTGTCTTCTGTCTTGGTGTTATTCTCCAGACCGTTGCTACTGATATCCCCCTGTTTGTTGCTGGTCGTTTCTTCGCTGGTTACGGAGTCGGTATGATCTCTGCCACCATTCCTCTCTACCAATCCGAGACTGCCCCCAAGTGGATCCGTGGTACCATTGTCGGTTGCTACCAGCTTGCCATCACCATTGGTCTTTTGCTTGCTGCCATCGTCGACAATGCCACCAAGGACAGGGACGACACTGGCTCTTACCGCATTCCCATTGCTGTCCAGTTCGCCTGGGCCATTGTCCTCTTCACTGGTTGCATCTGGCTTCCCGAGACTCCTCGTTGGTTCATCAAGAAGGGTCGCCCAGAAAGGGCTGCCAAGTCTCTCTCTACCCTTCGCCGCCTCAACATTGACGACCCTGCCCTCGTTGAGGAGTTGGCTGAGATCACTGCCAACCACGAGTACGAGCTGTCTCTCGGCAAGGCCACTTACGCCGACTGCTTCCGTGGTAACCTTGGAAAGCGTCTTGCAACTGGTTGTGCGCTCCAGTCTCTTCAGCAACTCACTGGTGTCAACTTCATCTTCTACTATGGTACTTCCTTCTTCCAGAACTCTGGTATCAAGAACCCCTTTGTTGTCACTATGATTACCTCTTGCGTCAACGTCGCCTCCACCCTTCCAGGTCTCTACCTCGTCGAGAAGTGGGGTCGCCGCAACCTCCTCCTCTTCGGTGCCGTCGGTATGGCTGTCTGCCAGTTCATCGTCGCTATTACCGGTACTGTCGCTGGTGTTGAGAACCTGGCTGCCCAGAAGGCCTTGATCGCATTCGTCTGCATCTACATCTTCTTCTTCGCCTGCTCTTGGGGTCCAGTTGCCTGGGTCGTTACTGGTGAGATCTTCCCTCTCAAGGTCCGTGCCAAGTCGCTCTCCATGACCACCGCCAGCAACTGGCTCCTCAACTTCGCCATTGGATACGCCACCCCTTACATGGTCAACGACGGCCCTGGCAACGCCAACATGGGCGCAAAGGTCTTCTTCGTCTGGGGCGGATGCTGCTTCATCTGCATCTTCTTCGTCTGGGGCATGATCTACGAGACCAAGGGTCTCTCCCTCGAGCAAGTCGACGAGCTCTATGGCAAGTGCTCCAAGGCCTGGAAGTCCCCTGGCTTCGTCCCCACCGTCTCCTTCCAGGATGTTCAGGACATGCAGGCCGACAACCGCCGCGCCAGCCTTACTGACATTGAGGCTGATGCTTCTCGCAAGAGGAGCGCTACTCACGCCGAGTACCCCGAGAAGACTGTCGTTTAAAGCATTCAAATCTGCAGACATGCAGATGTGGATTGGGAATAGACATTTAGATGTTTTTTGATCATTTCACACGAAGGCTTGTACATACGCATACCATGTCTTATGGGAGCCAAATGGGCAACATATAGTTGCATCGTTTTTTGTTTTTTTCCCGTTTTCATCTACATATATACCTCCATCATCACGAGTTATGAAGTTTTAATGAATTAATTCACTTATACCCAAACATCCAAAACTCTTGTCTTTGCTGTGAAAAATCTCTCACCATCAATCCCCCCCCCAGCCTTTATTTCACCGTGCTAATCCCCATCTCGCCCTACTTTCCCCTTTCCCTTCCCAATTCCACCTCACCCACACCTGTTTTCTTTGCCACTCCCATCCCCTCATCCCCACAAAAAATACCACCACACACCCTTGTCCCCCCCTCCCCAACACAAACATCCGCATACGCAATACGGCCACCCATGTGCAACCCAACCTATACCGCAGCCCCTCCACCCCATGTTAAATGCCTCACCCGCCTCAGGATGCTGCACGCGTCCCCCCATCTCTTCCCGGCCTAGTCTCCTTTCCTTCCGCCCCTCCCTCCCCTAAAAAGACGGAGACACGGGGCAACCAACTTTTAGATTGTAACGTAAACTACACTAGCTTTCTAGCTTCGCACACATACACACGGGGTTAGGTTTAGTTTGTTTTGTGATCCCCGCAATTTAGTTAGCGTGTGTACGGTGCGCGGCGCTTTTGGTGGCGTAGGGCGGGGGGGGATGGGGTTGTGACGTCGTGGATCGAGGGAGGGGGGGGGAGAATACGAAGGGGGAGGGCGTTTGAGAGAAGGGGCAGAGATTTGGGAGAAGGGAATAGACGAAGGGAGATGGGTAAAGATGGGTTTGGGGAGTGATGAGGCTGAGAGGGAGGCGACGGAGCATGCGATGCGATGCAGGTGCTTGTTTGGTTATCTTTGGTGGGATTCGGGATTCGGAATGTGGGATGCCCGGTGAGGGGAGATAGTGAGGGTGGGGTTTGGCACTGGGTTGAGGGCGCGTGTAGACTAGGTGTAGAAGGGAAGATGTGGGTTTGGGGTGGAGATGGGGCGGTGAATGGGGTAGGACGGTTGGCTAGTGTGGATACTTTGTGGGTTGGGAATAGAGGGGTACTTCGGGTGTTGGGCTGCGTGATAACACATGGGACCTTTTATGGTAACTCTCCCCCCCCCCCTCACTTTTCCTCTTTCTTTTATGTTGTATTTTATAGGAATGCAATAGATGGAGTGGTGAATATCTTTGAGGGAATTGTATTCATCACAAGGAAGAGCGGGTTGTGAGTTGTTCACTTGATGCCGAGATGTACTATCTTAGCGTACACTACAGGGACTTGCGATGTTCTGAAGAAAGCGAGATAACGCTAGTTTAGACAGCCTTTCTAGTAGGTCGATGGAAACATGTCACGGGTTACTGAGCTTTCTTGGCATCTCATTGTGGAATAGAAGAAAGTCACTGTGGAGTCGGTACCGCACAGTTAGATAAGCAATCCATGTGTCTCGCATGTTGGTAACTTGGCTTCTTCATCTGCTCCCGTTCTCCAGGCAAACGGCTTGTGCATCGATGAAATATCAGATTAAATTTCTCAAGGGTAAAGCAAGCGTGGATCATTAAAGAAATCATATCCGTGGAAGTATCTTGAAACAGTATTGGTTCTAGATTCGGGGGATTGAAAGCTACGCAAAAGAGCGTAGCGATGGTGTCTGATTAGTTGCGCTAAGGAGACTACAGGCTACTTCAGGGCCGGAGATCGTACCAGAAGATAAGCTAGCCAAGAAGACAGAAAGAAGATGCAGCAAATGGTAAACGCTTTAGCCGCCACATGCCTCACGGCGAGTAAGAAGGGAGAGTAATGGAGCTTATTAAAACAAACCTATGTAGATATGGCTAACCTGTTAGTTTAGCACCGTGCATTCCACGCTAGCATTCGGTGTTGTATAGCATGACGTCGAGTTGCTTAAGGGTCGGATGGAACTATATACCCTATGCACGTGACTGTGGCTTTATTGAATCGAGGGCTGGCCTTCCTGGGCCTCCAGTTCAGAGTATCGTGACCCTTTTGTCACTAAGTAGTTGAACGATTGCGATCATACAGTACTAGTTCATAAGTCTGGCCTTGCTAGCCGAAACCCCACCATTATTAAAAGTTGACGCCTATACTACTACTACTGTAAGAGGCTACGCCATGAATGAAGCACGTGATAATACCACGTGCTTACTATAGAGACGCTTAGTTATTAGAAGTTCCTCGTAAGAAAGAACTAACGAAAGGATATAAAGTAGAAGTTACTATACGATAACTTTACTCTTCTTATCTTTCTTCTTCTATAGTATAGGTTAATACAAACTCGTTCGAAGGCCTCTTCGCCCCTTAACAACTTACTTCTTTAAAGCTTATACTACTACGTAATATCTAAGTCATAAAATTACGCTCTATAGATATTATTTTAATAATAGCGTAGTATAGCGTTAGTGGTAGGCATTGTAAAAAGTGGGTGGGGTTGGTGTTTGTGGGGTGGTGGAGCTTGGCGAGGCCAGATATATGAAACATGACTGTAGTATCATGTGAATTTGTGGGGTAGTAGGACCAACTCTACTTACGATGACATGGAGTGTGAACACAACAACACTTCATCACGCTGTTCTTAAATTATGAATACTCTGGAGCGAAAGTTCTACGTCGTTCCTGAAGGTTTAGTTCCGGAGGGTACTGACGTTGTTCTTGGTGGCCAAGACGATCAAATCGTTCTTCCATCTCTTGATCCGGCATCAAATTTCACACGATTCCTTCCTCCAAATGCAACCGATACTCCATAAGATCTATTTGTACCTGGTCTGTCAAGCGCAACGATCCAAGCCCCACGCTTCACTCGTCAGTCCAATCGATCCGAGTTTCTCATCTACACGGATGGGGCATGTAGTGAGAATGGAGGGAAAGATACTAGAGGAGGTTGTGCCTTTGTCTATCGTCCCAAAACATCTCCCTCGATGATTCCGTCAAGAACTTCTACTGGGCATTCTACCCGCTCCATGAACCTTCATACAATTGGCGCTTCTAAATTTCGACTTGAGTCCCGCGGCCCGACGGGAGAAGTAGTACCTCAGACCAGTAACAGAGCCGAACTCCGTGCCGTTATCGCTGCGCTCGAGTTTCGGCTGTGGAACAACGAGGGATGCCGACGCCTTGTGATCGCAACAGACTCGTCTTACGTAGTTGACGGGTCTACACAATGGATCTACAAATGGATGCAAAATGGGTGGCAAACATCAACGCACAAGCCAGTGAAGAACCAGGATCTCTGGAAGGAGCTCAGTAAAGAACGCGAGAGATGGAGCAAAGCAGGGCTAGAAGTACAGTTCTGGCTTATTCCAAGAAGGCTAAACACAGTAGCAGATCAGCTAGCGAAGGAAGCTGCTGCTCTTCCTGACAAAGAGAATTGGGGAGAAATCAAGGGTGTATTGTGCTAATCAAGTTTGAGAATTGACACTTCGTTTTGATTGTGATAGTGGATTCGAACGATGTTTTAAAAGAGTCTGGCTCTAACGTCTCTATTCCAATCTATTCTTAAACCCACTAACGTGTTCCACCAGTAAGCGGCCCACCCCAGTAAGTGGTCCACCCCACCAAACCTGACACGACTCTCCA